ATGAAGAGCCTTGTATAAAGGATGACCTTATATTTTACTGTCCAGTCTGGGACCCTTTTGAGAGAGTGAAACGTGAAAAATTATTATTGTTGATAATTATTTGGGACAACAGGCATTAACTGGGACTGTCCCAGGCAAACCATGACATGTGGTTACCTTACTCATAAACTACTTTAAGGAGTTTGGGTGGTGCCCTGGCCGGTTTGGCTCAGCGGTTAGAGCATCGGCCTACGGTCCGGAGAGACCCGGGTTCGGTTCCCGCTAAGGGCATGTACCTCGGTTGCAGTTTGTCCCCGGCCCTGGTTGGTCGTGCGGGTGGCAGCCACTCGATGTGTCCCTTTCACGTCGATGTTTCTCTCTCTCTCTCTCTCCTCTTCCTCTCTCTCCCTCCCACTCTATCTGTGCAAAAAATGGAAAAATGTCCTCGGGTGAGGATAAAAAAAAAAAAAAGGAGTTTGGGTGGTAATATTTTGCAGGCTTAAGGAGTATAAGAAGAGTAAATTTAGGGTAGAATGGAATGGTGACTTCAGATTGAGGAACGTTGAGTTTAAGGTTTCTATGATTGTGTATGTGGGTGTCTTTTTTTTTTTTCCCACATGCCAACCAATTCTTGGACAACAAGAAGGTACCCAACAATTCAGTTCTGATACTGACTATCCAGAGTTAGGATTAAGAGCTTAGTCCTGTTGTAGACCAACGAGACAGACCAGACTCAGACTCTGAACTGGGTTCAAATTAAGAGAACTTTATTAGCCGCGCAGCCACTGTCCCATCCTACGCAGAGGAGAGAGCAGCCCCGAGCTCAGGGGGTGGGTTGCTTATATAGTTGTCTTAGCCCCTGTTAAGGAATTTGGGCTAAAGGTTTGCGAGCAAGCAAGCGCGTACAGAAGCAGATATCTGGGGTTAGCCATTATGCCTGCGGGAGCAAGCAGTTTCGGTTTGCACAATGCAATGGTTATCTATACAATATAATGGTTATCTATTAACTCTGGCTGCTAGTTCTTGCTATTCTCTTAAAGTCTAGGGGGGTAAGGTCTGCCTAATGGGAAAAATTTTTACTGTACGTTCACATAGCCTGTGTTTGTCCTTTATAGTCCTATAAGATTGGCCCCACTTCAGGTGCTAGTCATAAACGGGTGCCTAGGCTACTGCAGGAAAGGAAAAAGTTCCTTCTGCTCTCTTGGGTTCTGTGGCTGTCCCAATAATTAAACTGAGATGAGACAGATTAACAGGAGGGGAAAAAAGGGTTTTCATTACCTACTGACTTTTGAACCAGGAGTTTCAAAAAGAAATGAGATTCAATGAGGTGGCCAGACAATTGAAGCTTATATATCCCTTTAAGGCTAAACAAAAGAAAAGAGGTTTAAGCTACTGGGTGGTGAAAGCAAGTCATGGGAAGGTGAGGGGAGAGAATGTGTGGTAAATAAGAGTTGTCACGGTAGATGAGTCAAGTGATGAAAGTAGTTTCTTCCCAGTCAGGAGGTCTCTTTACAAATGGAAATTTCTTTATATTTGTAAATTTTCTTCACAAAAGGGAAAATTTACACTTTATTTTTAGGTAGTTAGGGGGGTGGTCAAGAGTTTTTTCTGCATTTGCTGTTTCTCAGTTACCTTTAGATCAAAATACTCCTTATGCCAAAGTGACATATTTTAGAGTAATGTATTTACCACCCACAGTTGTGCCCAGCAACTACAAATTCAGGATTTCCCGTGGCCACCTCCCTTCAAGGTTTAATAATTTGTTGGATTGTCTCACAGAACTCATAAAACATTTTATTGAGTTTATTAGTTTATTGGAAAAGATACAACTCAGTAACAGTCAAATGTAAAAGATGCATAGGGTGAGGTATGCAGGTGAAGGGACAATATACAGAACAAATGTCCATGCTCTTTCTCAGAGTATATCACCCTACCAGCATGTCAGTGTGTTGACCAACCCAGTAGCTCTCTGAATCTCATTGTGCAAGAGTTTTTATAACTTAATCTCCAGTCTCCTTTCACTCCCCAGAGGTGTGGAAAGGGGGTGGAGGGGCACTGGAGCAGAAAGTTCCCACTTCCTAATCACATGTTTGGTATTTCTGGTGACCAGCCCCCATCATGAGGTCATCTAGGGGGTTATCTAGAGGTCACCTCATTAGCATAAACTCAAGTGTATTTGAAAGGGGTTTCTTAGGAATACTAAGACTCTCCTATAACTTAGGAAACTCCAGGAGTTTTAGGAGTTATGTGCCAGGAACCAGAGGATAAAAACTGAATACATATTTTTATTATATTCAAGTTTAGTAGGCTATTTGAATAAATAATGGGACTTGAGATGGATAACAGTTTATCAAATTAACTTGGTTTTCTTTTGAAAAGTTTCTAGATTTTCTCTTTGTGTCAAAAATCAGACTTTGATATTTGGATCATCAAAATGAAGCCTATTTCTCCTGGGTATCTCTCATTAATTTATGTGCTTTGCTTCTTTAGAAATATCTAGAAATAGTAGCCCCCCCCAATTCTGGTTGTAGTTTTATGTTTTTCTTTCAAAAATGTTCAGTATGTAGTGTTTGATACATTAATGTATTCAAATGTTTATTGAGGATCTACTATATGTCAAGTACTGTTCTAGGCCTGAGGGATACTTCAATGACTAAAATGGATTTCAAGCCCTTTTGGAACTTACATTCTTATTAGACAAGGTAATATGTGGTGGAGATAGATAATAAACATAGTAAAGAAGTTAGAAGGTCACGTGCTATAATAAAAATAGGACAGAGAAAGGGGGCTTGGGAGTTGAAGGGGTTCAAAACAGGCCTCCCCAAGATGTGCCACTTTGGCATGTGGATTATTTTGAGCTGAAGGCAATTGAGACCCTGTGGGCTCAAGAGAAACTGTTATGTCTCCCTTGAACAGTTTAAATGTGGGCCTAGCCCATAATAAGAGTTATTATCAAAAATAACTTTTTATGACTTATCTATATTGCAGGGCAAACATCTAATTACTGAACGTCTGCTCATCTTATCATCCCACAAAGTATCCTTGTCCCCTCTGAAGCTCCAGGCACTTTATCTCATTCCTTAGCTCAGGATGTCATTTTAAACTCATTTTACCTTTCTGTCTCTGAACCTCTCATGTATATGGTATTCCCATACATACATATGTAATTAAATTTGGTTATTTTCTCTGGTTAATCTGTCTCATGTTGATGTAGTTATTAGACCAGCTGAAATAATCTGGAAGAGTAGAGGAAAATTTTTTCTCCTCAACAGTGCTAGTGATGGGAGTTGCAATTATAGATGGGTGGTCAGGGTCAGCTTCATTGAAAAGGTGACATTTAGACAAAGATTTAAAAATAGTAAGAAGGTGCCCTGGCTGGTTTGGCTCAGTGGTTGGAGAGTCGGCCTGCGGTCCAGAGAGACCCGGGTTCGGTTCCCGCTAAGGGCGCGTACCTCAGTTGCAGTTTGTCCCCGACCCTGGTTGGTAGTGCAGGTGGCAGCCACTTGATGTGTCCCTTTCACATGGATGTTTCTCTCTCTCTCTCTTCCTCTCTCTCCCTCCCACTCTATCTGAACAAAAGAATGGAAAAATGTCCTCGGGTGAGGATAAAAAAAAAAAAAATCCTTAAAAAAAATATAGTAAGAAAGTTAGCCAAGTGAATATCTGGAGAAGAGTGTTCAAGGCCAAAGAAATGGCAGTGAAAATATGGAAACATAACCTGCCATTTGGAGGAATGAGAAAGAGTTCAGTGTGGAAATAAGCCAAATAATAGGCACTGGGGTCAGAGAGGTAATGAGGAGGCAGATGTTGTGGGGCTTGGTAAGCCGTTTTAAGACTCTGGCTTTTACTTGAAGAGAAGTGGAGAGAGCCAGATGGTTTTGAACTAAGATGGGCTATGATCTAAATTACATTTAAAGACATGCCTCTGAATGCTTTGAATAGATTGTGGGTGGGGGTCAAGAATAGGAGACCTGCCTGGCCAGTGTGGCTCAGTGGTTGAGCATCGACCCATGCACCAAGAGGTCCGCTGGTTTGATTCTTAGGGCACATGCCCAGGTTGTGGGCCAAATCCCCACTGGGAGCCATGCTGGAGGCAGCCAGTCGATGTTCTCTCTTCAGTGTTTCTATCTCTCTCTCCCTCTCCCTTTCTGTCTCTAAAAATCAATAAAAGGGGGGAAAAAAAAGAGTAGGAGACCTATTAGGAAGTTACTTCAGAAATCCAGGTGAGAGGCAGTAGTGGCTTAGAGTAGGGTGGTAGCAGTGGAGATACTGAACAGTGGTCAGATTCTGGATCTCTTTGGATAGTTGAGCCAATATTGGCATTCTGATTTTAGATATTTAATTTGGAAATTTGGTTAGTAGGAATCTGTCTCCCATGACCGATCCTCACCAGATGTATTGATGAAAGTTTACGGAGTGACAAAGCTAGGTAGTGTTTTTCTTTTTTTATATATACATGTTTTATATTTTACTTCCCACTACCCAAATTGTGGATCATTTGAAGTAGAGATAGTTTGTAAAATATTTATTTTCTATACCTCTCCATACTGTGTATAGTACTAAACTCATAGTAAGTGTTCTATAAATCCAATTGATTTCAGTTGAATTTCTATTGGTTCACAGATCATTTTAGATACTTATCCAGGAATAGGAAGAAATTAAGTAGTGAAAAATACCAAAATTGAAAATTTGTCTAACTTTGTAAGTCAGATGTTCATGCAGTGGCTTCTATTTTGATGTATAATTTTATGATAATATTACCTATATTTAAGTGTGTATCTGTATTTAAAGGTATATCTATAAGTATAAGTGGACATATTTATTTCAAAGCAGAAAGTATAGATGATTTGTAAATGTTGTTTTATTTTTAATTTACCACTTAAATATTCCAGTCATTGTAATTCTGTTTCAGTAGGTCAAGATAACTGTGGAAAAACATTTTGTTAATATTAGAATACAATTTTTAGATATTTATAATATTAATTAAACTAATTTTTAGTCTTATTTTTTCTCTTTTAAAGATATTTATGACTTGGAACCTGCATCTGAATTAGGAGAAGATATATTGAAACTTTACGTGAAACAACTTTGCCCAGATATTGATATTTACGTTGATGGAAAAAGTTTTAAAACTCACAGGTAACTAGGCACGTGATTGATTTGGTGTCTTGATTGTGACAGTATAAAGTGTAAAAGGGTGACTGTCTTTTTCTAGCACAGTGGGTCTCAGGCTCTGATTTACATAGGCCACTGGAGTTCCATGGTGATGCCTCAGGAGGTCACTGTCAGGGGAGAGGTTGGCCATCAGGCAAGATTTTCTGTCTACAGGTGCACACATGCACACATGCCTCTACCCGGACGTGTGCACATGCTTCAGCTAGAACAGATCTGTTTTGCATTGGGCATGAACCTAAGATTTCATTAGAAGAAAATACTCTGTTACCTAAAATAGATTTGAAAGCCACCATCACAGAAAATGTAAGCGCATTTTTTAATTTCACAGGCATTATAGTATTGAGAGTGATTATTTCTACATGAATGATATGTATTTTCTTTGAATACATTTTGGCTGAGTCTTTCATTCAAAATGGATGATTCTCATGAATAGCATTAAGAGGCTTAATGTTTCAGTGTACTTAAAAAGAAGTTTTTTTTCCTGCTTTACAATTGGGTTGCTTAGACATTTCAAACTTTTAGATTTCAAATTAAAGCCTGCTTCCTGTGTTGGTCAGGTACTTTTTTGCAGGTAACTAAAATCTGCTTAAAAGAAGAAAAAAAATTAATAAGCAATACAGATTTTCTGTTGGAATACAGGGGAAGAAAGTACAGCTGGGCCTCAGAATGGACTAGAATCAGAACCAGAAAGCTGAGGAACCCAGACAGTTCTTCTCTTTCCCTCTCCTGTGTTTCAGAGAGAATATTGAGAATATACTCTGGTTCTCCTGAAGAGGAAGAGCCAGACTACTTGCAATGGCAAAAAATAGTCTTCTCAGTTTAAGGGTGTGCAGCTGTAATAATATTAACATTGGGTTTATTTATTTATTTATTTTTTATCCTCACCTGAGACATTTTTTCATTTTTGTTCAGACAGAGTAGGAGGGAGAGAAAGAGAGAGAAACATTGATGTGAAAGGGACACATCGAGCAGCTGCCTCCCACACAACCCCAACCAGGGCCAGGGATGCATCGCAACCAAGGTATGTGCCCTTGACCAGAATCGAACCTGTGACTCATTGGTCTGCAGATCGATGCTCTAACCACTGAGCACAACTGGCCAGGGCTAGCATTGGGTTTAGATTTCAGGTATTCACCAAACCAAATAGTAGTGATGTTTGTGCTTTCAAAAATCAAACACTGAACAAAATTCCAAGATGGTGGCATAGGTAAACACGGTATCACCTCCTCCCACAACTACATCAAAATTACAACTAAACTACAGAACAATCATCATTGAAAACCGCCTGAAATCGAGTCGAATGGAAGTCCTACAACTACGAAATCAAAGAAGCAGCCACATTGAAACTGGTAGGAGGGTCGGAGATGCTGACGGGCTGGTCCCACACCCACATGTGGCAGATAAAAGTAAGGAGGGACACCTCAGCTGTGAAGGTCCTCCCTGAGGAGTCAGGGGTCCCCGTCCCACACCAGGCCCCCCATTTCGGGATTCCAGTGCCAGGAAGAGAAGTCCCCATCACTTCAGGCTGTAAAACCAGTGGGAACTGAGGCTGAGGGAGGCTGAGGCTTCTGGAACCCCAGGCAGCTCCTTTTAAAGGGCCCAGACTTGCTCCCTTTGAGCTCGGAGGGGAGGCTGCTTGAAAGGCTCCAGAGACATCTGGGGAAGAACTTAGTTGTTTGGGCTCAGGATGAGGATGGAGAGGCAGCTTTCTCTCTGACAGACGTACTGGTGGAGGCCATTGTTCCTTTGGTGAGCCCTTCCCCACAGGGCCAGCAGACAGCTGCCATATATCTGGGACTCCAGCAACCTGACTTACACTGTTTGCCTCGCTCTGGTGATTCTCTGAGGTCCTGCCCCACCCAACTTTTGGGCCCATCGAAGCTGTTTCCAGTGGCTTTACCATAGGATTGGCCTATCTTGGATCCTGCTTCATATTTTCCTAAAATCTCTCAAACAAGCAGTATTTGGTCTCAGCAAGCCCATACCTCTCGTTAAGTGGCCCCAAGCCTGGCTGTAGAAGCAGCCAGCCTTGGTTCATAACTTGGTTTTCCTGGGCACCTCTAAGCCCAGCACAAGAAGCAGCCATCGGCAGATCACTCTGTAGCTTATGCCTGGTGGCCCCAGGTAGAACACATGCAGTGACTGACCTGGCCCCAGAGCCAGCACACCCAGGGGATAGCTTCAGACCACTTTGAAGCACCACTACCCAACCACCTCCACAAGTGACACACTCAATGAGTGGACTCAGTGGGTACCAGAGCCCTGCTAAAGAAAGTCTTGCTCTGTGTGGTGGGCCTATACTGGGCACATTCTGTTCTTGCAGCAGATCAGCCTGAGTAAATCCCTCCCATTGATGTGCCAACAGCGATCAAGACTCAGTTACACCAGAGGGGTATACAGTCCACACTAGGGGTACACCTCAAGGGCCCAGCTGGGATGATCAGGGAGGCTATGCCACTGGATCCTAGCAGACACCTACAATAGGCCACTCTACAAAGCCTAGGAGACATAGCAACTCTACCGAATACATAGAAACAAGCACAGGGAAGCAGCCAAAATGAGGAGACAAAGAAACATGTCCCAAATGAAAGACAAAACTCGGAAAAGAACTAAACAAAATGGAGATAAGCAATCAGTCAGATGCAGAGTTCAAAACACTGGTTATAAGGATGCTCAAGGAACTTAGAACATCAACAACATAAAAAAGGACCAGTCAGAAATGAAGGATGCACTAATTAAAATTAAGAATAATTTATAACACCTGGCCTGTGTGGCTCAGTAAATTGAGCATCATCCCATGGACTGAGAGGTCCTGGTTTGATTCCCGGTCAGGGCACATGCCCAGGTTGTGGTATCGTTTTCTCTCTCTCACATTGATGTTTCTATCTCTCTTTCCTTTCTTCTCTCTCTTAAAAAAAAAAATCACTAAAAAACCTATCTTAGAATAATTTACAGGGAATCAATAGTAGAGTAGGTGAAGCCAAGAAGCAAACCATCAAATTGGAATATAAGGAAGCAAAAAATACCCAATGAGAACAGAAAAAAAAAAAGAATTAAAAAAAAAATGAGGACAGCATAAGTAGCCTCTGGGACAACTTCAAGCATACCAACATTTGCGTCATGGGGGTGCCAGAAGGAGAAAAGAGAGAGAGCAAGAAATTGAAAACCTATTTGAAAAAATAATGACAGAAAACTTCCCTAACTTGGTGAAGGATACAGACATACAAGTCCAGGAAGCACAGAGTCCCAAACAAGATGAACCCCAAGAGGTCCACACCAAGACACATCATGCAAAAGGTTAAAGACAAAGGGAGAATCTTAAAAACAGCAAGAGAAAAGCAGTTAGTTACCTACAAAGGAGTTCCTATCAGCTGATGTTTCAAAAGAAATGAAAAGGAAAGACCTACAACCAAGATTACTCTATCCTGCAAAGCTGTCATTTAGAATCGATGGACATATAAAGAGTTTCCCAGACAAGAAAAAGCTAAAGGAGTTCATCACCATCAAACCAGAATTATATGAAATGTTGAAGGGTCTTCTTGAAGGAGAAGAACAAAAATATGAACAAAAAAGGGCAATTAATACATATCTATCAACAATTAAACTATAAACAAAATGAGCAAGTAGAACATAAACGGGTTCATAGATACAGAGAACTTTTTGTTGCTTGCCAGATGGGAAAGGGCTGAGGGGATGGGTGAAAAAGATGAAGGAATTAAGAAGTACAAATTGGTTGTTAGATTGATGAACCTCAAAGGGAAGGGGGTGGGGTGGGAGGGTGGGAATGAGATAAACTAAAGAACTATGCATATATGCAAAACCAATGGATACAGACAATGGTGTGGGGAAGGCAGGAGGCAGGTGGGATTGGGGAGGAGGGTGTCAATGGGGAAAAAAGGGGGGCATCGGTAATGCATTCAACAATAAAGAGCCCTGGCTAATTTGGCTTAGCAGTTAAGAGTGTCGGCCCGCCGTCCAGAGAGTTCCGGGTTTGGTTCCCACTAAGGGCATATACCTCGGTTGCGGTTTGTCCCAGGCTCCGGCTGGGGTTGTGTGTGTGGCAACCAGTCGATGTGTCTCTCTCACATTGATGTTTCTCTTTCTCTCTTCTTCCCTCTCTCCCTCCTGCTCTATCTGAAGATAAGTGTAAAAGTTTCCTCAGGTGAGAATTAAAAATAATAATAATGATAAATTAAAAAAAAAAACAACTAAAAGTAAAGCTATAATGTATGCAATACGCACCAAAAATAAATAAAAATAACAAAATTCAACGCCTTTAAAAAAAAATCAAACACTAGCCCTGGCCAGTTTGGCTCAGCAGTTAGAACATCAGCCTGTGGACAGAAGGGTCTCGGATTCAATTCCCAGTCAAGAGGCTGTACCTGGGTTGCAGGTTCAATATGCAGCCCCATTTAGGGTTGTGCAGGAGGCAACAAATTGACATGTCTCTCTCACATTGATGTTTCTCTCTCTCTCCTTTGGCTCTATCTAAAAATCACTGGAAAAATATCCTCAGGTGAGGATTAACAAAAAAATCAAATCAAATCAAGCACTTGCCCTGGCTGGTGTGACACAATTGGTTGAAGTGTCGTCCCCTGCACTGAAGGGTCACAGGTTTGATTCCCAGTCAGTACACATACCCAGGTTGCAGGTTCCATCCCCAGTCAGGGTGCATGCGGAAGGCAGCTGTTCAGTGTTTCTTTCTCACATCGATGTTTCTCTCTCTCCCTCTCCCTTTTTCTCTCTGAAATCAATGGGAGCATGTCCTCAGGTGAGGATTTAAAAAAAAAAAAATCATACTGATTTTTGCCCATTAATTGAAAGCAGTACATTGCTAACCTCTATTTTTTTATATATATGTTTTTATTGATGTTTTAGAGAGAGAAGAAGGGAAAGACAGAGAGAAATCTGCTGCTTCCTGCATGCCCCTTACTGGGGATCAAGCCTGCAACCGGGCATGTGCC